CCTCTGTGTCTGTTGTGTTAAATGACAGTAAAGAGCTGGATTTAGCTTCAGCTATGAAGTATCCCAGTTCTGACTACCTTTCCTATTTCTACTTGAATAAGGAAAAACAATAAAACATTTTCCAACTATAATCTTATTTGGCCCTTAGTTAGTGTTAATAATATCCTCCACCTTATTGATAGTTGTAATTTGTGCATGGCAGTAATTTGTCTAATTTAAGTTTTCTCCTGCTGATAAACACTGTGCTGAAGATGTTAAAGTGTACTTATGTTCAGAAGAGTGACTATGTAGAAATGACAGCTTCTTAATCAACCCTGTGGGTAGTCAGAATCATAGCTGCTCAGTTTTGTGACAAAACTAAAGGTTTTCCTACATTTATTCTGTTTAGGTCTACTATCCTATGGGACCTGGTTTCTATTCTGGTATATGCCACAACAAAATAGTTAACTAAGTTCCAGCTGGAGGGCCAAATTTTACATTCAGTTATACCTGTAATAACCACACCACAATGTCTTTGTTCCTAGTGCTGGTCTCAAGCCCAGATAAAGTGGGAGGGTTGGGCAATGGCTTGGCAAGCCATCCCTGTAAAACATCTCTAGCTTTGACATGCAGAAGAAAACACACAATGTTAGCAATTTCATCTGCTTCAGCAGTTTCATCTACTACTCACAACAGAACCAAGCTTCAGGATTCATCTAAATCTTCTACTGCATGCAGAGGACTCACACTATATGATGATGATTCTTCCATAAACAGAAATGGGAGGGAAGCACCTGACATAAAGATGGTATGTCCCCTTCTGAAGCAACATCAGTATCTGAGGATGGACCATGAAATGGCTGATTATTAACAGCGGTCGGAAAGAGGACTCTCCTGGCTGAAGAACTGGAAAGGTTGACTGTTGTATGTGGCATGCAGGAGACATGGTGGAATTTAAACACTGACTGCACAACTCTGACTTGTAGCAGTCAGACCTTTCAATTGTTGCATGCCTAATGACACATCTGAAGGGCACACTAGTGTTGCTTTGATTTTGTCCCTGTGGCGCAATCTGCACAACTGACTTGACAGGCTTATTGTCCATGCCTGATAGCCATCATTTTGAGTTTGAAGGTAGGATGTATGGTAGTTATTAGTGGATATGCTCAACATGACACAAGGCCTGATGTGAAAAAGATGCTTTTTATACCATGTTAGAGAATGTTGTATCTAGTATGTACCCTGACTTCATATTGTCATCTTAGAAGATATGAGCATGAGAACTGGCCATGATAGAATGGGATTTGAACTAGTACTGGGACCACACAGTTTACCGGAGGAGAGATCAGATAATTGTTTTCATCTATTAGAATTTGCTTCCCCACATGAACTATTTTTAATGCCTACCTGGTTTCAGCACAAGAACTGCTATACGTTTACTTTTCAATATCCATTGGGTGACAATACAACCTTGGATCACGTTCTAGTTTGGAAACAGTATGTATGTGTATTTAGGAGTGCTGATCTTGCTCTGGAATCTGATAATCAACTCCTAACAGCGATGATGATGTTCCATTTAATAAAGTTCCAAAGACTGGTACCTACTGCATTGAAATGTTTAAATGTTGATAAGCTTCATGATGAAGCAATTGCTAATAATTACGTGGGTAGCAATTTCCAACAAATATTCTATATTGGATTACCAGCTGTCTAACGCCCAGGAAGAATGGGCTTTATTTTGGGATTCTATCACAGAGATTGCTGGAGAACAACTGGGACTAAAGAGAATGAAAAAGCAATATTGGATTACAAATGATACCATCAAAGTATGAGTGAGAAAAAAAGAGGGATGGTGCAGAATGGATGCACTGGAAGGTCAGAATCAAGTCAGTGAATGGAAGAGGAAATGGACAATAGAGGAAAAGCAATGTCTTGAATGAGCAGTCATGAGGGCCTGTGAGAATGATCATAATCAATGGTGGAATGGTATGGCACAGTGTATTCAGAAAGCCTCCGAAAGACATATTCAGAAATGTGTATTTGAGACTTTGAAGTTCCTAAATTTCACATTCAGTGTGGTTTCTATACAGCTCAATTTACAATCCTTGGTATATATGTTCTGTGGAACGTTACTGAAAAATGACTAGAGCAAGAGAAGGAAGTTATCACCACATTTACAGATTACCAACCGCTTTTGACTCAGTGGATACTGCTATGCCTGTATGGTGTGCCTGAGGACTTAATGTGCCTAGTGGAGGAATTGTACCACGGAACATTTAGCCATATGAAGATAAATGATTGTTAATTGCAGGCTGGTTTTCAGTAGACTTGGGAGTATGCCAGGGATGCATTCTATCACCTACATTATTTAATGTTCTA